AAATTGTTGGTTATAGAGATTCTGGTTGAAATTGTTGGTTATAGAGATAAGCGATGATTCCAGGATTCTTCGGTATTGGGTGTTGCCTTCTCTGGTGATAAGTCTTGAGTTTCTGTAGTTAATTAAATGGTTGTGTGAATTGCGGTGTTGTACACACGCATTCCTTGTATCGTCAGACCTGCTTGCGTATTGGTGTTCTGAAATACGTGTTTGGAGGTCTCTTGATGTTTCGCCTACGTATAATTTGCTGCAGTCATTACAAGGGGTATACATAATCCCTTGTAATGACTGCAGCAAATTATACGTGGGCGAAACATCAAGAGACCTCCAAACACGTATTTCAGAACACCAATACGCATGCAGGTCTGACGATACAAGGAATGCCTGTGTACAACACCGCAATTCACACAACCATTTAATTAACTACAGAAACTCAAGACTTACCACCAGAGAAGGCAACACCCAATACCGAAGAATCCTGGAATCATCGCTTATCTCTATAACCAACAATTTCAACCAGAACAATGGCTTCTATAACATAGCTGACCCACTTGCCAAGAAACTTCTTCATCGCTATCCCACATAAGAACACAGGAATGGAAGAACACTACAGAAGGTCTGCTCACAAACTTATCCAATCTCCCTTCGAAGCTACCCAAGATTCTAGACTCTATAACCCCACTCGGCAGATCATCAGATGCAGCATTCTCCACCTGACCTCAACATTCTGAACCTGACTATAAATACTCGCGTACCTTCCACCCCAGGTAGATCTGTTTGTGACTTGAAAAAGCCCACTGTATGGGCAAAACGTTGTCAATAAAGGATCACATTAAACTGCATATGTGTTTATATTTCCATTGAAGTATTTTGTTGTGCCTCCTAAGAGCAGGAATTCCGCTGGAACTGATTAATGCCATTTCAATTAATTTAAATGAGGAAAATTGACTCAGCATACGAACAAATCGCTATACAAACGAAGTCATGGAACAGATTAAATTCTTAAGCTGAGGTTCCACTGTACAATAAAATCTCTCCTAGAAGAAGTCATGGAAGGATATTTCTAAATTGTAGATAATAGAAATAGAGCAAAAAAATTCAGACTTCAAACCCAATAAATACTTCAGAAAACATTTTCTCTATTTCAGAAACTAGTAAAATGTATAGATTTTATAAACTAAAATTTGAAATTTGAACCTTTTGCTCCTGTTTGTTATTTCTGTACTTTGGAAGTGGTACCGAGTTCAAAATTTATACACGAATGTGTATAAATTTTGGGTAAAGGAGGTTTTGTGTGCGAGGGGCTTGGACTTCCAGCAGGCATGCGTGAGCGTGTTTGATAGGAGTGAATGGAGACAAATGATTTTTAATACTTGACGTGCTGTTGGAGTGTGAGCAAAGTAACATTTATGAAGGGGTTCAGGGAAACCGGCAGGCCGGACTTGAGTCCTGGAGATGGGAAGTACAGTGCCTGCACTCTGAAGGAGGGGTGTTAATGTTGCAGTTTAAAAACTGTAGTGTAAAGCACCCTTCTGGCAAGACAGTGATGGAGTGAATGATGGTGAAAGTTTTTCTTTTTCGGGCCACCCTGCCTTGGTGGGAATCGGCCAGTGTGATAATAAAAAAAAAAAAAAAAAAAAAAGAATGTGCCTCCCCACGTCTGTCGGGTCAGGGTAACATCTCGTCTTGGGTGTGTTCTTCCCTTTCTAATGCCCATTTCCTTCTCTGCTTTACTCTTGTAGATGAATGGTTCAGGCAAGTGAAGAATTCCTAACTTGTGTTTTCTTGGCTCCTGACCCCTTCTCAGGTTATTATGTGGGAGCTCATTGATGGACAGCTAGGCCATTTTCTAGTTAGTGCTTGATAAACCATACCACGGGCGGGGATAGAACCCGCGATCGGAGAGTCTCAAAACTCCAGACCATCATGTTAGCTACTGGACCAGCTAGCCACAGTAAGATTCGTACAGTTGCTAACGTGATGGTCTGGAGTTTTGAGACTCTGATCGTGGGTTCTATCCCGGCCTGTGATATGGTTTGTTTGCATTCGTGTCATTACGATTTCGTGAGTCACGTTAATGGCTTTGAGGGGACTTGAGCTAGAGTTCGTCACAGCCCCGCTACCTGGAGATTAATCTGTAAAAACTTGCATTTGTGGTCACAGTGGTGCCTATGCTAACCTTCCTGTGGTGTAGAAATATACCTAGTTGGATGAATCTTATTGTGGCTAGCTGGTCCAGTGGCTAACGCAATGGTCTGGAGTTTTGAGACGCTCTGATCGTGGGTTCTATCCCCGCCCGTGGTATGGTTTGTTTGCAATCGTGTCATTATGATTTTGTGAGTAATGTTAGTGCTTGATCATTGGGGGCATCATCTTTGTCCTTGAGCTGTCTTTGTAGTAGAGTGGACCCCTGTTCGCAATGCTTTCGGTATCCGATAAATCCGGTATCCGATGCATTATATTGCAAAAAATTTGCCTTGGTTCTCGTTACAAAACCCGGTATGTGATACGATTCGTATGAGATGTGTCCATGTGTGGCCTGAACTGCCCCATGTGTGCCAGTGTTTACAAGCCAGCCAGTGTGCGCGCATCTAGGGATACATTCGGTGCATTCCATATTATCCATATTATCACTTGCTTTTGGTGCTTGTTTCTGCAAAATAAGTCACCATGGGCCCCAAGAAAGCTTCTAGTGCCGACCCTGTGGTAAAAAGGGTGAGAATTAGTATGGAAATTAAGAAAGATTTTGAAGGGTTTGGGACTAACCCTGAGAAGCCTATGCCAGTTGTGTAATCCATTGTGCCTACTTCAAAAATTAAGGAAATGTGTGCAAAGTGGGTTGAACTGCAAACCTTTATGGATGAAAATCACCCTAACACAGCTATTGCAAGCCGTGCTGGTGACTATTACACTGACAATGTTGTGAACCACTTTAGGAAAGTCATAAAGGAACGAGAAGTACAGGCCTCTATGGACAGATATGGTGTCCAGTGACTCTCAAGCTGGTCCTAGTGGCATTAAAAGAAGAAGGGAAGTAACCCCGGAAAAGGACTTGCTACCTCAAGTCCTAATGGAGGGGGACTCCCCTTCTAAACAATAGGTTCAACACTCTCCCCTCCTCCCATCCCATTAATCATCACCAGATCTTCATTAAAGGTAAGTTTCAATTGTTCTATTGTTATTATTCTATTGTTATTGTTGTTATTGTAATTATTCTATTGCATTAAACTTAATATTTCATGTGGTAAAAAAAATTTTTTCATACTTTTGGGTGTCTTGCACGGATTAATTTGATTTCCATTATTTCGTATGGGGAAAATTTATTCGCTTTCCGATAATTTTGGTTTACGATGAGCTCTCAGGAATGGATTAATATCGCGAACCGGGGTCCACTGTACTCTGGTTTAGCCCCTTTATGGGTCTCTTCATCTTTCGTTTGGAGAGCTTTTTCCCATCAATTTTACCTCCACAATATTCATTCAGCATTGTGTATCTCCTTCCAACTTTTGCCCCATCTCCATCTTGGGATACTAGGGGGTTCTGGCTCTGTTTGCAAGACCTCTGTTCTGCCCCAGCTTTTTTCCTGTAGTGTTCCATGGCTGCCCCTCCTTTGGATGTTTGGCATTTTTCTCCATTCTTCTCTTCAGCTATAGGATTTCTTCTGTGTAGGGGCTATTTTTATGGCAGAGCATCATTGCCATTGCTTGTTCATTTGGGATACCTTGCTCTATCTTAGCTGTATCCCAGCCTCTGGTTTCACTCTGGGGATCATGAAGCTCTTCCTTCTGATGTTCCACTCAAACTTGGTTTCCTAGAGTTTTTCGTGTGCTGTGGATAAACCTTTTCATCTAGTGGACATCTCTATTCAAGATGGTGAATATTATCTTCTTGAGTCACCCTACCTTGGTGGGACATGGCCATTGAGATAAAAACAAAAACAAAAAAAAAAGGTCTTAGAAAACTCACCTGTGTAGTTTTTTTTTTTTTTTTTTTTTTTATGTGATTGGCACAGTACATCAAAAATTAAATAGCTAGTGGAGAGGCCTTCTTAGCACATGATATTCAGTTTTGGGTAAACATTTTTAATTACATTTATGGAAAAAATCACTTTATGAAGGAGCTTTATAAGAGAGTTTACTGTATTTAAAAAAAAAAAAATAATGTAACCTACTTAATTTGTATAGTACATTCTTGACTTTTTAGTATTAATAAAACCTGAGTTGTAAATGCTGCAGTGAGGCAGGGTAATATTTTGTGAAGGTATTCAGGGAAACTTGTTAGCTGGACTTGAGTCCTGGAAATGGGAAGTACAGTGCCTGCAGGGGGGTTTGGGATATTGGCAGTTTGGAGAAACGTCAAAGCTGTCATATCTGAGCACCTCTGCAAAGACAGCGATTATGTATGAGTGATGGTGAAAGTGTTGAATGATGAAAGTTTTTTTCTTTCTTTTTGGGTTTTTCTCTCTTCAGTCACCCTGCCTCGGTGGAAATGGCCGACATGTTAAAAAAAAGAAAAACTGGTACACTATATATTTATTTTTGGTTAGATATCTTAGATCGTGACAAAGCAATTTAGATTGCCTGTTGTCCTGAAGATTGTTCCATATTAAATATTTAATCCTCTTGATGTAACAGTACATGAATATGAGAGACCTGGTGACTTGGGTGTGCTGCAGTTTGACTCTTGCCATGCACCTTTGATTTATGAAAGTGTTTACCGGGTTTCCATATTAAGACTTAGTACCACCAGTAATGTAAGCAAGTCAAGAATGATGCTGTCTGCTTCCAGTTTGTAGTGTAGGTTACCTAGCACCAGTAATTAATTCTACATGCATAATTTGATTGAATTTCACATCTCTCTTGCATTGTTGTGTTATATGTGGTTCAAGAAGGCAAAATATGAATATCTATATGTATTTGGTTTGCTGTAAATGTTGTAACTTATAAATAACAAAAAGTTATTTTTGAAAGTAAAAATTGACCAAAGTATTGATATTGCAGGTTATTCTTGATCAGAGTGGCATCTATGCTGCTACCAGCTGTACAGATAAGAATATGTGCATCTATGATTATTACTCTGGGGAGTGCATGGCTACTATGTTTGGCCACTCTGAACTCGTTACTGGACTACGCTTCACAAGTGATGGTAAACATCTCATAACTGTTTCTGGCGATGGCTGCATCTTTTTGTGGAAGTAAGTTTTTAATGTTTAAACTTAAGGATTTCTGTGTATTTTGTCTCAAATAGGTTTTCAGGTCTTCATAGTGATTGAAAGAAAGAAAAGTATGCAGTTGCATCACTTTAACTCTTAAACTGTGACAGACCTGACCAAAAAAAAAAAAAGTTCTGGTGGGCCCCCGAGTATCGTGAGCCTCGCGCTTTGTGAATTTTGACTTTTGGCAACTTTTTTCGTCAAAATATAGCCTCACATTTCGCCTTGCAATTCGTCCATATGGAACATGGCTGGCATACACAAAGGCTCCCACTCACTGTTCAGAGAGTCAGTGCGACATTGTTTCTGGGCAAGTGACCATCACCTCACATGTTCATACGATACATTTCATAATAATCCATAGTTTTTTGTGCGTGTAACTGCTAATAAGCCACCATGGACCAAAAGAATGCTCCTAGTGCCAGCCCTTTGGTAAAGAAGGTGAGAAACATGATAGAATTCAAGAAAGAACACACCAGCCAGAGTACTTCCCCACACCAGCCAGGGTACTTCCCCACACACATGATTTGAGTTGAGTGGGACTTGTGCATGAGTGAATAAAATTATCAAAACTGATTGCTTGGGGAGCATTGAAAATTGGGTTGGGCAAATATTCTGGTAGTGGGATGGTTTGTGAGCAACATGCCTAGTATGGGTCAACTGGTCTGCTGCAGTGTTCCTGCTTTCTTATGTACACCAGCGAGGGTACTTCCCAAAACAAGCCAGCCGGGGTAGTTCCCCACACAGGATTTGATTTAAGTGGGACTTGCACATGAGTGAATAGAATGTAGATGAATGGTTCAGAGAACTGACAAGTTGATAAATTAGACACAAAAGAGGAGCTTAGGGTTGCTAAGCTTGAGATACGGCGACTGACGGAGGAAAATGAGGATTCAAAGTAATCCTCCTGTTGTGAGTCCTCAGGTCAAGAGAGGAATGTGGTCAGTGGCCGGCCAACATGAAACAAAGCTGAAAATCAAGAAGAATGTTGGAGTGGCGGAAGCAACTTAGATCCAGAAGACTGCTGTGGAGACTTCCAACCCATTTTCGGTGTTACCAGACGAATGTGTGTTGTCTACTGGAAAGGTCGCAATGAGTACCAAGGAATCATTGGCAGAGGAGAGTGAGTCGACATCCCTTGAAATTCTAATGAAGATCATTGAAAACGTCACTACGAACTCCACCAGTGAAGGTAAGAACATTGTTTTAGTTGGGGACAGTCAAGTGAAATTTATGGATAGGGCATTTTGTCTTAGGGACAGGAAGAGGAGGCAGAGGGTATGTTTTTCTGGGGCTGGGATGGGGGATATTGTTAGCCATCTGGACGACACCATGAAAGGTAATGGGAGCAATCCTATTATCTGCCTCAGTACGGGAGGCAATGATGTCGGTAGACATAGGAGTGAAGACCTGATTAGCAGGTATAGGACAGCAATAGCGATAATTAGGAAGAAGGGTGGGAACCCTGTGATATGTGGCATTTTGCCCAGGAGAGGAGTTGGAAATGAATAGCTGTCCAGGGCAATTGGTGTCAACTGCTGGCTGGACAAACACTGTAAGGGAAATGCAGTGACATTCATAGACAACTGGGACCTCTTCTATGGCAGAAATGACATGTATGCCAGGGATGGGATTCACTTATCTAGGTTTGAGGTGGGAGCACTGGCCAACGCAGTGGAGGGAGCTGTTAGGTCTTTAAGCTAGAAATAGATAGTGGTATGGGTTTTCGTGGAAAATCAATGTATTCTGAGTGTAGCAATAGTGTGAGTTTTAAGGAATGAGGAAGAATTATTGGTGAACATAGGAAAGCCATTGGCATTAGGTGATAAGGAGAGTAACAGGCATAGTGGAGGAACAGAAATCAGCAGGAAGAAATAAGAGAAGGGAGGGTTTCTGAAAATATATTATACAGTGGACCCTTGGTTTACGATATTATTTCATTCCAGAAGTATGTTCAGGTGCCATTACTGAACGAATTTGTTCCCATAAGGAATATTGTGAATTAGATTAGTCCATTTCAGACCCCCAAACATACATGTACAAACGCACTTACATAATTGGTTGTATTGGGAGCTGATCGTAAAGCGGGGGTCCACTGTACTAACAGTCGTAGTGCGAGAAATAAGATTGATGAATTGAGAATAGTTGCAAGTGCGGGGTAACATAGATGTTTTTGTCATAACTGAGACGTGGTTTAATATGAAAAATGGGGACATGCCTGCTGAATGTCACATTCAGGGTTTTAAATTGTTCCAAGTAGACAGAAATATCAGAAAGGGGGGTGGGGTGGCACTATATGTCCGAGATCGTTTAAGTTGTTGCATTAAAAACTGGTATAAAGTCCGAAACACACACTGAATCTGTTTGGGTAGAATTTTCAGAGGGGCATGAAAAATTGATTTTAGGCGTGATATACCGTCCCCAAACTTGGATAGAAACCAAGGAAGACTACTGTGGGAGGAAATTGTTAAGGCCACAAGGCACGATAACGTTGTAATTCTAGGAGACTTTAACTTTAGTCAGATTGACTGGAATTTTTTGACAGGGAATTTAGAATCTAATGACTTTTTAGAAGTAGTTCAGGATTATTTTTTGAAGCAGTTTGTGACAGAACCTACAAGGGGTAGTAACCTGCTTGACTTGGTTCTGGCAAACAAGGAATCACTTGTTAATAATTTAGAAATTTCAGAGGAACTTGGCACAAGTGACTACAAATCAATTTCCTTTAGCATTGAATGGAAGTATGATATTAGGGATAACTCAGCAACAGTCCCAGATTTTCACTTAGCAGATTACAATGGGCTTAGAGAACACTTATCACCTGTTGACTGGGGTAACAAAGAGAGCTATCAATATGAGAGTTTTCTAAACACTATACATACTGCCCAGAGAACATTTATCCCGTATAAAGAATTTTTTTTTTATTATTATCACACTGGCCAATTCTCACCAAGGCAGGGTGGCCCGAAAAAGAAAAACTTTCACCATCATTCGCTCCATCACTGTCTTGCCAGAAGGGTGCTTTACACTACAGTTTTTAAACTGCAACATTAACACCCCTCCTTCAGAGTCCAGGCACTGTACTTCCCATCTCCAGGACTCAAGTCTGACCTGCCGGTTTCCCTGAACCCCTTCATAAATGTTACTTTGTTCACACTCCAAAAGCACGTCAAGTATTAAAAACCATTTGTCTCCATTTACTCCTATCAAACACGCTCACACATGCCTGCTGGATCCAAAATGGATGAATAATAGGCTCAAATATCTTTTTGGACAGAAAAAGGAATTTATAGGCGCATAAAAAGAGGTGAGGGTCATCTTATGAATCAGTATATTGACATTAAGAGGAACATTAAAGAGGGGATAAGGAAAGCTAAACAGGACTATGAAATTAAAGTTGCTAGGGATTCGAAAACTAACCTGAAAAGTTTTTTCCAGGTTTATAGAACAAAAGTTAGAGATAAGATAGGTCCCCTTAAAAGTAACTCTGGGCATCTTACTGACAAGGAGAATGAAATGTGCTCTATTCTTAACAATTATTTTCTCTTGGTTTTCACTCAGGAAGACACTAACAATATCCCAGCAATTAACTTTTATAGTGGGCCTGATGATGATAAATTATGCAATACCACAGTCACTACCGAATTGGTTATCAAACAGATAGACCGGTTAAAGCAAAATAAATCCCCGTGCCCTGATGAACTTTTTTCAAGGGTTCTTAACCCTTTGAGGGTCCGTCCTGTAGATCTACGGCTTTACATTCAGGGTCCAAACCGTAGATCTACGTCATGAGCTCAGCTCACTCTGATAAACTGTGAGTTGTACATTTGGGCCTAGATATGAGAGAATACATCTATGTGGTATGTGTGCACCACATAAAACAGATCCTGCAGCACGCTGTGTATAATGAGAGAAAAAAACTGAAATAATGATTTTTCGATTAAAACAGCGACTTTGCAGTGTTTTTTTGTTTGTTTTTTATAGTTCTATTTGCGATTTCTTGGTCTCATTTGATAGAATGGAAGACATATTACAGAAATAGAGATGATTTTGATTGGTTTTAGCACTGGAAATGGCTTGAAACTGAGCTCAAAGTAGCAGAAATGTTAAATTTTTGCCGATATTCAAGAGTAAACAAACGACCTCACACGTCTAATACATGCCAGCTGGTGGGTCTAATATGCATTCACAAATATGGTGATGATATTTATACAATTATTACAGTATTGCAAAACAGTAAATCTTCTATTTTTTGGTGCGAATAAAAATTCATTATGTGAATAACAAATCAAAATGGAATTTATTTGTAAAGCCTCAAAACGTAACTAATGAACAGAGGAAATGTTAGTTTAGTTCAAGGAATACGTACATTGTTTATTCTGGACCCTATTTTGAAATTGGAATATTTTGAACTTCGTGTTAAATTGGCCAAATTAACAATTTCCGATCATTTTAATTTGTAGTTGAAACAGTTGACTTGGCGATTTCTTGTGCTCAATCGATAGAATAGAAGTAATACTAGTGAAATAGCTAAGAATTTGGTTGACTGGAATAATGTAATTGGCCTAAAATGGGAGTCAAAGTCGGCAAAATCGCCGATTCGTAAATATCGCTGATGCATCAAAATTTGCGAGAGCATAATTTCGTCAATTTTCCATCAAATTTCGTACTTTTTGTTTTATTACCTTCACAAAAAGATTCTCTACGATTTCATAAGAAAAAATAACAAATTTTTTTTTTTAAAATTCTTGGACACTGGGGCACCACTTCAGATTTGGGCCTTGGACCCTGAAGGGGTTAAAGAGTATAAAATGGAACTTTGTGAACCATTGACTAATATTTTTAATATTTTTCTACAAACAGGTGTAGTGTCTGATATGTGGAAGATGGCTAATGTACTTCCTATTTTTAAAGCAGGGGACAAGTCGTTACCATCAAATTACCGCACAATAAGTCGAACCTCAATTGTAGGCAGATTACTA